AGAGCCCCTAGTAGTGTCCTTGCTCCTAGTAGTAAGGCCAAGAGCCCATAGTAGCGTCCTTGCTCCTAGTTATTAGGCCAAGAGCCCCTAGTAGCATCCTTGCTCCTAGTAAGGCCAAGAGCCCCTAGTAGCGTCCTTGCTCCTAGTCGTAAGGCCAAGAGCCCCTAGTAGCGTCCTTGCTCCTAGTAGTAAGGCCAAGAGCCCCTAGTAGCATCCTTGCTCCTAGTAAGGCCAAGAGCGTCCTTGCTCCTAGTAGTAAGGCCAAGAGCCCCTAGTAGCGTCCTTGCTCCTAGTAGCGATGCCAGGAGCCCCTAGTAGCGTCCTTGCTCCTAGTAGCGATGCCAGGAGCCCCTAGTAGCATCCTTGCTCCTAGTAGCGATGCCAGGAGCCCCTAGTAGCGTCCTTGCTCCTAGACCTCTGGGTACGGGTGTCTGGAAGCAAATGTTCGTCTTTCCAGCTTCTGATACGCTTCTCAGATTGGTTCGGGGGACCGGAAGTTGAAATTTTAGGGGAGGCCGGCGTATAATGCATCTTATGATGCGTGATTATATGATGACCTTTCTAGAAGTTAACATTGCTGAGATGTTGAGACGATGCCAATCACGTTCCTTGTGGGTGCTTGCAGTGCTTGGAGAAACTTAGAACGAACATAGTATATATATATAATTCTTGGAAAATGCACGCCTTTCGTCTCCAGAATCACACCAACAGCCATTTGGAAGATGCAGCAATTTGTCAGACTATGCCAAACTGTTCTACAGTGTGAATTCTGTCATGTTGCCCTATCCTCACAGTCACAAACGGCGCCATGACCTTGCTCAAATGGTGCCATGTTTCCGGTCAGTGTGCTGCCTTCTCCATTGTCACCCACTTCTCACCAGCAAAGAAACGCACGTGGAGTTGTGTGTTTGTTGGGCCTTGGAAACAGGAGAACTCCGGGAGCACAGATTGCTGGGCCATCGTCACGGATTGCTGAGGTCCATGCACCACAAGTGAAGGCTGCAGTTATCTGGACCTGGGCCGCCTGGGCCTTCGGATCAGTCTGGCTTGAGGCGAATCACCAAGCAAAACTGGTGCATGCATGTCATGGGAACCAAGAACACCCGCGAATGGTTGGTAAAATGACCGTGCATAATGCCTGGAGAGCGACTCCCTTTGAGCACTCGAAGCCTCGACCATGTAATGATGACAATCAAGTTCCCTGTGTGTGTGTGCGCATGTCATTTGATGTCAGTGCCGGTCAAATGTTGTCTTGTCTCCAACTTGCTCCACAGCTTAGCTTCCGGACTCCAATTGCAATCCTCTACATCCTCGGCAAGCTAGAAAAACACACGTTGAGATTAATTGCGACCAATCCATCATAGTCTATGTGCCTGCAGCTGTGAACTTTGGTGAGAAATAGCTTTTATAGCGCAGCCTAAGCCAGGCAAAAAGGCCGCTGTCCATGGCTTGTTCGCTGTGCATGCTGAAACCCAACAGAACTGCTTAAGCTTTCAAACGACGGAGAGCTCGGTTGCTCTGGCTCTTCACCTTGACAATTCCAAGCGCAAAACAGTTAAGTGGTCTGAGCGCATGGTTGAGGTCTTAAACACTCCACAAACTGAAACATGTTTCAGTCGCATACCGCTTGGTAGCAAGGATGATGCTTCATGCCTCGAATTTGAAAAGTGTTAAACGATTTCAAGCAATTCTAATTAAATGTTAATTTATTGTTTCTAATGGCAAGCATTGTTACTACTAGTAAGGCACTTGTTACTAGAAGCGATGCACTTGTTACTAGTAGCTGATTGTACTCATCTGTCGAGTCTGTCGATTAAGGCAAAGTCAGAAGCCATTCGACCCGCCGCGCAAGAACCTGCGGAAGGTTGGACTACTTTAGTAGAGCACCTGCTATATCCTGCTTATTCCTGCTTGTACTCTCGTTCAGGCTACTTCACCAAATCACAGGTGTCTGGTTTTTGGGCGACCCCCATCTCGCTCCCAAGCAAATACTGATGTTGGAAACACCACAAACACTATCAATAGTGCATGAGCATGCCATAAACTACCTTTGTTAGGTGCAATAAAAGAGTGAACATGAGGATGTTAGCCAGTACTGTATGTGGCATCCAAGCGTCTTGAAAGCCCTTGCCTGGTCCAACATCTTGAGAAAATCCTGATGCCGATCATTGCCTGAAATTCCACAAAGCATTGAGGACATCATGCAGCCAAAAGTTCAGAGCATCCGGACGTTGGTCCACTTCGGAAAACCTAGGAGTTACACGGCGCGAAGCACGCGATGTCTTGAAAGACTCAGTCGATATATCCAAAGGGTCCAAAGGGTAGCAAAGCGTAGCACTTCTTCCAGGATTCCATCTGAAAGTCCTGTAGGGCTTGTGAGACCTGCAGGACGAGAACTAGGATTTTTGTCTGTGTTACAAATGTCTGGCATCTCTTGATCTCTCGGTTGGCCTCCTCCTTTGAGCTTTGCGTTTGACCTGCATCGCCATGAGCACTGTACCAGGCGAGGCCACTATGCCAGAATTAGAAACGCAGCTGAAAAGGTTGAGGATAAATTAGGAATGGGGCTAGCTGCGGCTCTTCGATGTTCTTCAAGCATCTCATGAATGCCTCCACAAGAGTCTGCCAAGCGTCGCTTCAACATTTTGCATTGGGTGCATGGGCAGTTCAACCTGCTACTGCAGCATTGGTGTTGTTGCGGTCCTCACAGGTTCGATCGCATGCAGTCAGATGTCCATTCAGGTATTTGCTGGCCACTGCAAGCTCCTGATCCGCAGTTGCATTCATCTTGCAATGAGCCTGCATTTTGATCTGTTGCTTCATGTCTTGCAGCAGAAACGAACACTCTTGCAAACAAGTTTGGCTAAATTACTGCAAACAAAAAAGTCAACAAATTGCAGTTGAGGATTCCAGATCCATTTAAGCTCCGTTTCCTAACAAAGCAACAGTTCCTTTGAGCGCGCCTCCTCCATGGCATCCTTTTGTTTCTGCAGCTTGTCTGCAAAAAGCGCCCGGGACTCGCTGTCTCGGTCGGCGACCTCTTTCCGAAGCTCTGCGAGCTCAGCAGACAACCTGCAAACATGATGTCTACCGTAACTGTAGGCAAAACATGTCATACCAAGTATGTCACAGGAGTGTCATGAGTTGTATCATGAAAATTAATGTTCATTAGTTGGCTCTCTTAGTGAAAAAACAAATCAAAACAAACATGCCGGCCCTTCTCAGTCTGAACCCTGCTGGTGTGGTCAGCTGCCTTGCAAATCAATATAGATGTATATTATATGATAATGACCCTGCACTACCACTACACATGACACATCCGGCCGACACCGGCATATTGGACAATATTGGACATAGCCTCTTGGGCCTTCCGCTCAATGAGGTCTGTCAACTCCTGCAAAGCACACTCTGTTATCTTTCTTGGAGAATTCTGTCGAATCAAATGCCTGCCGCAATGTGGCGAACTCTTCCTCGATCTTCACACAAAGTGACCTAGATTTGGGACCGGCATCGGCCGGCGCATATATTCGGACTTGGGTTAATGGAACCAGACTGCTTTCAACAACGAGTGCAACTATGTTTAAGACTTTCGACGACAGGCAACCACTGGAAATGTAGATTTATTTTTTGTGTGAGGTCCTGAGTAAGGAAGTCAGCAAGAAAATAGTGAACATAGGTTGGGGTGTTCGTGCAACATGTGGAAAAAAGCAATCAAAAAGTGATTGCGGAGACATAGGAAAGCAAAACATGGACAAGAAAATAGTGAGCAAATAGCAAGAAAATAGTGAGAAAACTGACTGACATATTGTGAAACGCCTCCCGAAACGACACGTGACGTTTATATATTAGGTTTCGATTCTGGATTGCTTTTTGATCACATTTTGGTCACCTTCTTTTGTGCGTTCTTCTTGCTTTTGGTATCCAAATATTTCAATCACATCACCTTTGGATCGCTTTCTGCTCGCCTTTCCGCTCACTGTGTTTTTGACTTGTCCCCTACCCTGCACTCTGAGATTGCTTTTCGTTTGCTCCAACTCCTACTCCGAAATCACAAAAGATTATTTTGGCCACCCTCAGCGGTTGGCTGGACTTCATCTCTTAAAACTATGTGCAACTATATGATTCCAGGCCCGTCACGTCAGCTCGTCGGCAAAGGCATTTCGCACGTCGACATCGAGCTGCTGAATCTGGGCCTTTGTTAGTCAAAAAACAACACATGACTGCTATCGAGTCTGGTCCAAATGTCAGTGTCGAAAATACATGTAGTAATGTAGTTAGTAAGGGCAAAGAAGGCAAATGGACAAATTGCGCATGCCAAGTGCCCGCGCTTCCAGTTGACTTTGACCAGAGCTGCGAGCGTCCTCCTCTTCGGCCAGTGCCGATAAGACCTCAAGTATGCTTTCTTACAAAGTTGCAATACATACATATATAATATAAAAATATATATACACATATATATATATATTGCACCACCAAAATATGCGGCAGCTTACGTGGGACACATATGTCTATGTACAGTCCGTATTGCCCCCACTGGGCTCCACGGTTCTATCAAACACCTTGCATTTGTGCAGCCGTGCTGTGTGCATGTCTGCACGAAAAAACATCTGGAAAAAACATCTGGGGGCAAGTGCCAACGCATATATGGTGGTTGATTATTGCTTTTTATGTTTTTCATGATGGAATGGTTATTCCTCACGGAAATTGCGGATCTTTCACGGCCTCATCACGAAGCATGGTCCTAAAGCCATGTCTAGTTAACATGTAATGAAACTATGTCTAGCTACGCGGCTTGTAAGATCAACAAATGTTGACTGGATATGACTGGCATTTTGCACATGCAGCCTGGGGAGGGCGCTCAAGTTTAGAACCAGGACCCCTTCACAGCACATTCGCACAACTTTTTTGCGTAATTCAGTACAGTAGTGGTTTCCACGAAATACACATCATGTGCAAACATCTGCACAGTCCGTCAGAGCTACAGCTACGGATCCCTGCCTCGCTGTCAGGACTGCCTATTATCCTGAAGAAGTGGTTCCCCCGCATTTTCGCCAGACTTAGGGGTAAAAACTGGCTTCCTTTCGGAGAAGGGAACCTTTCTGAGCACTTCAAGACAAGGGCATATATGTCTGAAGAAAAGGATTGCAAAATGTTTATCATTGTTTATCGGTTTCATCTTGTCTGCGCGTCTCCTGTGGCGCCCCTTCCTCCACCTGCGTGTGTCCCTGTCTGGCGCGATGTTTTTGAAAGTAGTAGTTCCTCGTCAGGCTCCCTGAAGGGCATAAGACTCTGTGAAAGTGAAACAATATACTAATAGAGCTTGGAAATGCTTGACTTTGTATATCTTCTCTAGGCATACACTGTCCCTAACAGTTATAACAGATGGGCTGCCAGCTAGCAATTGCACCATATTGCAATTCCTCGCTGCATCAAGGAACTTGCCAACTTGACGTTTTTTCCACTAAATGCTCAATGTTGTGAACACTTGCCAAAACCATCCTTGCAACTAGATTGACGATATGATCTTATATGTATATATATTTATCTAAACATGTCAGTCCGTGACTGGAGACACGAGGCACTCAATAGTTCAATCAAGTTTATCGCTTTGAGGGAGACCTGTCGCTTTTGCAGGTTTTAGCCAAATTCCTGACAATTCAAGACCGCTCTTTACTGAATTAGTCATTGCACGTTTTGGCGGTTGCTCATACAGTGTAAGGAATGGGGCCCTTCCTCAAAAGGAAATTGTGATGATGATCCAGGAAGGGTTTCTTCAGTTATTACAGCATTAAACGTCTGAGGGTTGCTTGCTATAGACACAGCATCTAATGCCAAGACAATCCAATATATGTCCCTACATTCAGACGCACACCTTTTTAAGGCAGCATCATTCATCATCATGTATCTAAACATAAAATCCAGACCTTTTCACATCAACATGCGATCTGTCTGTCAACCAAAAACCTACTTGATTACAACATGTGGCTGCATGTGCATGTGATATACACGTTGCCTGGGCTTCAGCCTTCCCTCATAGAGGATACAAACCATACATATGTTGCGTACTATATTGTCGTAAACTGAAGAGAGAGAGAGAGAGAGAGAAACAGAAAACACATGCTGTGCCGTGGCCTCACTGCGCACATCGCTGGTCTTGGAGTCGCAGTAATCCTGTGCCAAGAAGCAAAGTTGGTGCCAGTGCCAGGTAACCTTTGATCTGCAAAGGTAGGAAAGAAATGACACCTAGATTACTGAGATGTATGTCCAGTGCCTTCGCCTCTTGGCGGAAATTTGAGGCTGCCTTGCCGGCATGATCCAAATGAAAAGGCACCGTTCGAGAGTGCCCTTCTTTACAACTGGGACGCCTCTTCAGCAACTTTTGCATTCTTATTGACAATCTCGGTCAAGTCATCAACCTCAGGTGAAAGGGGTGTGAAAAACAAACTGCATTCGCGTTGTGCTATCCTCATGAGTTCCGTATCCGCTCACATCAACCATTCTCTCATTCTGCGCTAAAGAGCATTGTTCTGAACTCGTGTCGCCGGAGGCTGCACTTCTTCCTGCGAAAGAACGAGCCAGCCTTCAAAGGGACCTAGTACTCAGCCAGTGTTGCCAGCTTCTCCCAAACCAAGCGTTCACCAACAGTGATCTTTGAAGGAAAGTTGCTGGGTTCGCTATTGCAAGGAAACCAGCTGCTATACGCTGTGGTGGGTTGCAGCCAGCGAAGAAAGAATCAACAACATATAGCAACTATGATACTATGATTTGTTGAGGTGATTCCCAGGGTGTTCTCCTCCGAGCCTCAAACACATTGCATTGATTGCGTAGTTTGCTCTTTTAACATCTTTTTATATACTTGCGGAAGGTCTTTTGCCCACCATGCTGGAGCTTCCAAAAAAACATATATTCTGATTCAAAGCGAACAGGCAGAACCCAGAAGTCGATTTCCTTGTCAGCCTTACCCTTGTTGAGCTTGGCAATGAGCCCCTGCATTTGCCAAGCGAGCTCGGTGTGGGACAATGCTTGAAACTATCATGTGGTGCCGCTCCAACTCCTGCCTTGAGCTCATTCCGAGCAGCCTCCAACTCTTCAACTGTCGCATTGATTACTTTGGGCCTAGCGAGTGCTGCTATGACAAAGCAGGACTGCTGGCAGTGCTGGCGTTTAATTAGTGAATTCCAATTGCGGCAAGAGAGCATTGAGAATTGGATAGTGGCTTCTGCTTTGCAGAAGAACAGGTCCAAGAATCATGCCATTAGCAGAAATCGACCCTTGTCTTGCTTGGTGCTACTCAAATTCTTCGTACAAATCAAACGATCAAAACTTGAACATCCACATGTCTTTGCTTTGTTGCAGCTAGCCATATCCTCGTTTCTCTGATCTTCACTAGGTAGCGGTCAGCTGTTTTCTATGGTTTCTGAAGCATACGGTGAACCACAGACTGCAGGCGTGTGTGTGTCGTACATCGTTATCAAGTGATGATCGACAGAAATGCAATATCAAGTGATAATCGACAGATATGCAATGCGAAGGACATGCAGGTCTTTGATTTTGGCCTCCAAGCATCTGTCATCCTAAGCCTGAATGACTGGGGCATTTGATGCCTGCTCTTTTGGGAGGCCCTTGGGATTTGGCACCAGGCTGCGGCTGGGTTTGGTTTCCTGGTTGAGTCTCTCCAAATCACCAAAAGCCTCTAATTTCCTAGGCTGAGCCATTTAGGACTCACCATCCCTGCGCCTTGATACGTTGCCCGACCGTCAAGTTTGCAGTAGCTTGCATCTCCGTTGACCTTTGGTTGGTCTGACCATAAACAACACAATTATATACAATTATTGTAGTCGAGGACCACACAGCTCAAAAGTCAATTGATGCGACCTCCAACGTCCATTCGTCTATTTGCAAGAGAACCAAGAAGTACCCGTGCCAAGCTGAGCACCTGCTTTGAATAAGTACCCATCGGTCCAAGGTCAGCACATTCTCACAGCTTATGCCATGTAGCCCCAGAAGATATGGAAGTAAAACACAGTCTTTGGTGTTGGGCTCCGATCGAGGCGCAGAGCATTATCGGCTGACTGTTGAAAGCAAAGCCATCTCCAGCTGGTTTGGTTGTAAGAAAGAAGCTGGTGTGCTGTGTGCACAAACATCACTGAAACATATTTCATGTTTTGCAATAATTAATTAGGATTGTGTAGGCAATGTCGCATTGTAAAGCAGTGTATTCCTGCTGTGCGAATCAACTTCAGCCGAATCATCACTGGTTTTAGCATCCTCCCTAGCAGCGATGCTGCACCAGTGATGGGAGCATTGACACTCAGTCAAAAGAAGAGCTGAGAAAGAAGCCCAGTGATGGGCTACAGGGTCGCTGGAAAGATTCCAACAACCCAAAAAAAAATACGATTGACCGCTTGGTCCGGTGTGGCATGAATTAAGTATCCACCCTTTTGGAACTTGTGGACAAACCACCTTTTCCTCACTCTCACATTACAGTTATGCTTGTCTTTGCAATCTCAACTCCTCTTATTTTTATGTTTTGATGATGTAACATGTACATGTTTTTTCAACATGCACAACACAATCTCAAGAAGCAGAAGCAATCGAGAGTTTGCAAAAACAAGCAGTTGGTCGGTGCTGCAAACTCAAAGCCCCTCAGTGGCATCGCTTTGACAATTCCTTGGCAAAAACAGGTCCACGGGAGTCACAGCTCGAAGAGTCCATGGAAAGGAAATGCATCGAACGTGGCTTGCTACTTGCTCCTAGTAGTACGGCCAGGAGCCCCTAGTAGCGTCCTTGCTC